TTAATACAGCAAATGAGGCCTTCTGACATCTAATTTTTAGTTCAGGGCCTATTAAAGACACCAAATGGAACAGCAAGCCACACTCAAGGTAGTTTCCCTCTGACCATATCTTTGCTTTATGACCCTTTTGCCATTGTTAACTGATATATGTTGGTAAATAGAACTGGGCCAAACAGGTTCTCTCTCCCAGGAATCTAAAACTTGACAGAAAAGACCAAAAACAGGGAGTTGTGAGAGGTAGAAGCAGCAGTTATCAATCAAGAGATTTTACTCCCAGAGGATATTAACAATGCCTGGAGTGCTACTGGCATCTAGTGGGTAGAGACCAGAGATGCTGCTAAAGACCTACAAACACAGAGCAGGTCTTCACAACAGAGAATTAACTTACCCAATGAAGTTTTAGGAGCTGGTAAAGTCCTGCCTCTCCCCAGACTTTGGGACCTATCCCAACAGCTTTCTGTTACAATTCCCTTATTACTTAAGTTAAACTGAAGTTTTTGTTGTTTGCAAAAACAAAATAACCTGAAGTAGCACCAGTACCCTAGTTCAAACATTTGAAATGCTTGTATACTTCAAACAAGTTTCTCAATCTCAAAACTACTGACATTTGGGTCAAATAATTATTTGTTGTGGGAGACTATGCTGTGTACTGCAGCATGTTTAGCAGCATTCCTGGCCTCCATCCCACCCCACAAGTTGTGACCATCAGAAATGTTCCAGATGTTACCAAATATAACATCCTAAAGTACATCCCAAATGTAACATGTAACCCCTAAGGGGCAAAATCACCTGATTGAAAACCACAATTTTAAACTATACAAAGACTCCACGGTTGTATAAGACTTTGTGAACAGTTGTCCTGCCAACTCCCACTTCCCATAAACCTTGTGTCCAGCTTAGTGTGTATGAGCCAAAGCATGGGAGGAAGGGAAGAGGGAACATTTGTATCTGAATCTCTCTTACTCCTTCTCAGGTCCTTAGTGTTAATACACTTCATCTTCTAGCTTCTATTTTCCTCCTCTTCTCCTGTTCGAACACACAAATACAAATGCCACAGAAACAGGAGGCCTTGAAAGGTAGCGATCGTTATTTCCTTTTTTACATTTGTTCTAACTTTTCCTTAGAACTCTTCATTCTTTTGTGAAAAATACTCTCTTGGAGAAGACTCCAAAACATATTCTGTACTGGTTCACAGTAATTTCTCTTCAAGGACTTTCCTGTTTCACTTCTCTTAAAATATAACTACTCCAATCCCCACCCCCACCACACACACTCACACTCCCTCACCCTCTTGCCCTGCCCCCTTGCCCAATCCCAGGAGGCACGTGGGCAAGCTCCAGCTCGGGAGCGAGCTCTCTCTCTCTCTCTTTCCCTGTTCAGTTTCAGATCAGTTCCAAGTACACAAACTATTTTTTTAAACTTTTTTTTTTTAAGATTTTATTGATTTATTCATGAGAGACACACAGACAGAGGCAGAGACACAGGCAGAGGGAGAAGCAGGCTCTATGTAGGAAGCCCGATGTGGGACTTGATCCTGGAACTCCAGGATCACGCCCTGAGCCGAAGACAGACGCTCAACCACTGAGCCATCCAGGTGTCCCACAAACTATTTTTTATTAAGGATGCAACAGATGCTTAGGATACAAACTAAACAACAACTGGGCAGGGAACTACTATATAGATTTATACTTCTCAAATAGTTCAGCATTTACTTAAAGCATTTATTAATCTCTTAAGAATCTCTTAAGAATCTCTTTTATAATTTTCCAATATACCAGTTTCTCAAGCCCCTGTATCTCAGGAACACTGGTTTTAATGTTACAATTTCACCATACTTCAATCTCAAGGCTCAGAATAAGCATTTTCTTTCTCCTGTTTTCCTTTACAGTCTCCTTCTTACTGGAAGGTCCCATATATAGAGTCAATTTTCCGGTCCTTCCTTTCCAGGACAAAAAAGGCTCATTTATTCAGTAATTCAATTACCTTCTTAAAACCACAGGGATTGGGATCCCTGGGTGGCTCAGCGGTTTGGCGCCTGCCTTTGGCCCAGAGCGTGATCCTGGAGACCCAGGATCGAGTCCCGCATCGGGCTTCCAGCATGGAGCCTGCTTCTCCCTTTGCCTGTGTCTCTGCCCCTTTCTCTCTCTCTCTGTCTCTATCATGAATAAATAAATAAATAAATAAATCTTAAAAAAAAAAACAAAACCACACACACACACACACACACAGGGAAACTGGCCATACCCAATATCTGTGATAACACTGGTGGCATATAGTCTTAATCAGTTATGAAAATACAAGGGCAAGTCAATGCTTTGGTGCCACGATTCATTACAAAAAAAAAAAAAAAAGTTGCTGAGTACCTACATTCTGCTAGATTAAAACAAGATCCCTGCCATCATGCAGTTTACGTTCAAGTGAAGAAGACAAAGAGCAAGCATCTATACAGGCAGAGAAGGATGAAAAGGTTGGTCAGATAGGGCCTCCTTTGAAGGGTCAGTAATGGCATCCACTGGCTGTAAGAAACGTTTATTATTAGAAGGTAATGTGTTCTAAGTATTTCCTGTTAAACATTTACATTGTCATAATTAAAGATAATTACTTTAATAGAGACATCTTTATTACTGGATAATCTGTAAAATTAAGCTTGACCCAGGTAATTTCAAAAATTCACCTCTACCTGAATAACTATAATTTATTACAACACACATCAACATTCTAGCCAAGAATGTGAATTTGATACTCTTTAGTCACCCGAGTTAAGTTTTGAAATATGAAATAACTAAAAACTCATGTGTTTCAAAAACACACTCAAAAAGAATGAGGTCTTGCCATTTTCAACAACATGGATAGACCTAGGGGATTTTATGCTAAGTGAAAATAAATCACACACAGAAAAACAAATACATATGACTTCAATTACATGTGGAATCTAAAGAAAGAAAAACAAAAAAGCAGAAATCCATAAATACAAAGAACAAACTCATGGTTGGCAGAGTAAAGGGCTCTGATCATGGGCAAGTCACAGGGATGAAAGGTACAGCACAGGGAATTCAGTCAGTGGTACTATAATAGCATTGTGTGGTGACAGGTGATAGCTACACTTGGTGGAGAGCACCGCATAACCCATAGAGTTGTCACATTATTGTGTTGTACACCTGAAGCTAATGTTCACATTGTGTGTCAACTCTAAGTCGAAAGAAGGGAGGAAGGAAAGGCATACAAATGGCCAAAGATGCAAAAACAGAAATCCTCATCTCTGAAAAACAATCCTTATTACCATTTACCACAAAGCTATTAAAAATCACACAGGTCAAATAGTACCCCAAGGACTCAATTCTGAATATGTAGTTGTGGTCTCTTTTGTGAAGTAAGCCACCACCTTTGCTATTAATTTTTAAGAGTCTTTCTCAACTGAAGTTCCACAAGAGAATTAAACTAACTACGTAAGACACTCTGAATTAACTTTTCTCCCAAGCATCTGGAATGGAACTAGCCATGTGCCATCATCCTTGGAAGATAAACGCTCAAATCATTTTCCGGAAGTCTGAATTTTCTTGGGGAATGGAGTATGACAAAGGCTAGAGGACATCTGATTAAGTCAGGTATTACCTAAATAATAATTAAAAAGATAAAACCTTTTTCCAAAATAAAATAATTCAGTACTGGACCGTAGGTACAAGTTATTAAAACATTTCAATTAGCGATAATATTAAGAAATGCATATTCGGGGATCCCTGGGTGGCGCAGCGGTTTGGCGCCTGCCTTTGGCCCAGGGCGTGATCCTGGAAACCCGGGATCGAATCCCATGTCGGGCTTCCGGTGCATGGAGCCTGCTTCTCCCTCTGCCTATGTCTCTGCCTCTCTCTCTCTCTGTGACTATCATAAATAAATAAAAAATTAAAAAAAAAAAAAAGAAATGCATATTCGTAAGTGCTGCTATAATTTGCTACTTGTTAAAATAGAGGTTATATCTTACTCAGTGTTTTAAGTCTAGATAACATATTTGCTGATTCAAGGAAATACTGATTTTGTTGCCCAACCTGCAACCTGTGGTATGCAGTGATCTGGACAATCAACCGTCTTCACCGTGTGAACATACCTGTATACCCAAGTTTTATCCTAGCATCAACTTACAAATAACAGAGCAAAAAAGGGTCATAACCAAACGCTTTGAATTCTGTTAACCATTTGGAAACAAGATCCCACATTCAGCCTGCGCCCGGAGACAAATATGGAGAAGTCAGAAGTAACAAAGTGCCAGCTTTACTGAGTCATGTTTCTGACTAAAACCGCGTTATGAAACGGAAAGAATGACAAGTATTGTTTATCACCACAGATGCTGACTACCTGAATTTATGGACCTCGTATTTTAAAAAGAAAAGCAAAACTGTTTTTGCCAAAATGATGTCGAACTAAAACGACCCCAGAAAGAACTTCGCCAAAGCTGGGAAGTCTATTTGGCGAACACAAACCCTAACTGTGCAAACAGGCACACGCTCTAATGCACGGGAGCGGGAGCGGCGAGGCGGGGGTGAATTCGGGAAACCACAAGGTCAACATTTCACGGAGAAGACAAGCCTCAGCCCCCAAGGTCCGCCCTGCTCCAGGCGCCCTCGGTGAACCGAACCGCCGTGCTCCGGATGGAGGCGAGCACGGAGCTCGGAGTCACCGGGCCGCACACAGCATCCCCGCCTCCGCGCAGCAGCGCCCGGCGGGGTCCCCGGAGCCAGGTCAGCAGGCTGCCTGCCCCGCCGCCCTCCACGCCGCTCGGAGCCGGCGGGGCACGGCCGGTCCAGGGGGCCGACTCCCGAGGTCAGCGCCGGGCGCCGCCGGCCACGGAACACCGGGGCCGCGACCCCTGCCCCGCCAGGACCTGGACGCTCAGGCGGCGCCTCCCGCACGACTGCCGGGCCCCGCGGTCCCCGAGCTGCACGCAGCCTCCCGGGCCGGCGAGGGCGGAGGCGGACTGGCCCCCCACGCCCGAGGCTCTAGCTGACCTGGAGAGGTGCTTCAGGATCTGTTTCTTGATGAGCCCAGCCATGGTGCCGGGGCAGGAGGCGGCGCGCTCCCTCCGCGTTTCTCACTGCCTCCTCTCTTCGTGGTCCGGACTAGCCCGGCGAAGGGTCGCGTGAGTGCTCACGCCCGGGAGAGACCGAAGGCCCCGGCCGAGGCCACAGCCGCCGCCGCCGCTGCCGCCGAGGACCCGGAGCATCGCTCTCAGGCCTCCGTGGCCGCCGCCGGCGCCATCTTGGCTGCAGCATCACCTAAGAGACCTGGGGGAGGGCGGGGCGGGGCGGCGCGGACGGGGCGCGGGGCGGGGCGACGCGGGGGAGGCGTGCACGCGGGGACGCGCGTGGGGCGGGGCGGGGGCGGGGCGACGCAGACTGCGGGCGGGGGGAGTCGCGGGGCGGGCCGCGCGGGGGGGGACGCACGGGGGGGAGCGCGGGGGGGGGCGCGGGCGGGGGGGGCGGAGCTGCGCGCCCCCCAACGCGCCCCGCGCGGACCGCCCCGCCCCGCGCTGCATGAGTGTCCTTTGCTGCCGCGCCGCTCCGGATCCCAGAACCTTCCTGGGCTTCACATCCTCCGTCTCTGCCCTGGCCTGGTTCCTGCCTCCATCACGGAGTGCTCCTTCCACATCCTACTTGTTTTTTTCATTTTTCACAATTTGCTCCACAAACTACCCTGCTCGCTTTGCTCTCTACCTGCTGTACTCCGCTTTCTTCATACGTTTGCCTCAGTTTCTTCTTTGCTAAGATATACTGCTCCTCCCCCCCCCACACACACACACACGCCCATGCTGTAATTTAATGTTTCCTCTGGTGATTCCAATCCTAAGGGAAGTAAAAGTTGACAACGTGTCTTAAGAGTCTAGGACCTGAGAATTAGAAGTCAGAAATTCAAGTCCTGGCTCCGTGGTTCTAGCTGTGTTAACCTGAAGAAAATAATTTCCTTACTTGTAACCTTAATCAGAGACAAAATACGTTAATCTTGTATTCTATAACCGTCTCGCTAGGTTGTGGCTACGGAAATAAGAATGCAAAATTTCACTTGAAAATTTCAATAAAAAGGAAGGAAATGATTGAAATAGAACTATTACAGCTCTCCACCTCACCCAGCCCCAAAGCAACATTTTCAAAGGGTGAAAATAACGTCTCAAGCGACGTCTCAAGGAGGAAAGGTATTAACACTACCTCTGAGGGATGGATCAGGAAGGATCTGGTTAAGGGTGGGGGAGAGAAGGTAGTTCACACATAGTCCAACAAGCTGCCCTTTTTGGAGAAAGGAAAGGAGATAATGCTTTGACTCCTCACCATTCCTCATGCAATGCGAGCTAGGCCTTATTCTGGGGTTGCCTAGCCAAAAGCAAACAAATCTGTTCTGTCATCAAAGAGTTAACAGACTAGGTAGGTAAATAGACTCTCAAGACCTTGAGGTAAGTCCTTCGACTGGGTCCAATGCTACCTCGGCCTTTGTGTCACTATGTAAACTTGGGCAAGTGATTTAATGTGTCAGCCTCAAATTCCTCATCTATGCAAGACAATATTAAGTTTCTAACTCAGAATTTATGAGATCTAAATGAGATTATGCATATAAAGTTTTCAACAAAGTGCTCAGTACTAGGCAAACTCTTTAATAAATGCTATTAAATTAGCATTATTGAAAACAGATGCAAAGTGTATGAGCCCACGAAGAAGGAGTGATTTGTTCTACCTTAGGTCAAAGGCAGATTTACAGTAGACATGTTATTTCAAAGATGAGACTGAATCAGCTTAATGCATTGACCTTGAAATTCAAGATTTGGATATAAAATGTAGCTCTGCAGATTTTTTTAACAATGGGATCGGAGGAACAGTATGGAACCTCTCAGGCTCCACGATGGTGGTTGTGAGGATTAACCAAGCTAATGAAGGTTAAGTAAGTACTAGACTACTTGAAAGAGTGCCAGACACAATATGATGGAATTAATTCACTAGCAGGAAGAGTATGTTCCAGGCAGGTGGAAGTGTCAAAGCTCATGGCTTATAAAAGGCAAGTGGCCTAATGTTGTGGCTAGAACAAAACACAGATTCCTTTTCCAAGTTGTAAGTATTAAAGAATCTCACAGCTTGATAACTATAGTTGTAGTATAGTTTTAAAAAAATTCAACTAAGCAAATTGAGAATTTGTCTTTATTAAGCAATTCATTAATTGGGATCATCCCACATAGCAAGTAGAGGGGAACTCCCAAGAAAGGAATTGTACAAAATGGAAAGTATTTATAGGAAGGAATTTACAGGGGATCCCTGGGTGGCTCAGCGGTTTGGCGCCTGCCTTTGGCCCAGGGCACAATCCTGGAGATCCCGGATTGAGTCCCACATCAGGCTCCCGGCATGGAGCCTGCTTCTCCCTCTACCTGTGTCTCTGCCTCTCTCTCTCTCTCTCTGTCTATCGTAAATAAATAAATAAATAAATAAATAAATAAATAAATAAATAAATAGAAGGAATTTACAGGACGTTACTGCAAGAAAAGAAAAAGAAAGAAAGACAAAAGACTGTTTCAGGCAAGGTCACCTTCATTTAGGGGGAAAGGCCAAGAGCCCTATTAGGTAGATTACCTTATTTTCCTTTGGGGGGGACGTTGGGATGAGGAGGGACCATGTGACAGATTACCTAATTGATGCAGACCAGAAAATTCCAGGCTAATTGGCTTAAAATTCCACACCTAAAGAGGTTGAAACTGTACTTAGGTCTTGGTTTGCTATGGGCAACTGACTCTGCCTTAAGCCTGTGTTATTTAATGAGTTTTTACTGATTTGTACCAATATCTTTTTATTGAGAAATATATTTGCAATTTTTCTGTCCCTGGATTGAGGGAACATATGTCAAAACCACTATAAGGGACCCCTGGGTGGCTCGGCGGTTTAGCGCCACCTTCGGCTCAGGGCGTGATCCTGGGGTTCCGGATGGAATCCCATGTCAGGCTCCCTGCATGGAGCCTGCTTCTCCCTCTGCCTGTGTCTCTGCTTCTCTCTGTGTGTGTCTCTCATGAATAAATAAATAAAATCTTAAAAAAATAACACTATATATTCAGTGGTTTAAATTAATTCACATCTTTTTTTTAAGATGTTATTTGTTTATTTGAGAGAGAAAACATGCAGGGCAAAGGTAGAGGGACCAGCAAATTCCTCCGCTGAGCAGGGAGCTCAACATGGGGCCCAATCTCAGGATCCTCGAGATCATGACCTGGGCCCAAGTCAGATGTTTAACTGAGCCACCCAACACCCCTTTACATTTTTAATTGCTTTTTAATTATCAAAGTATAATTTTTAAAAGTTAAAAAACATGACTGTCATACAGATGTATAATGGATATGCACCAAAGATTTATCAACTCATATTAATGTAAAACCCAACAAAATAGGAGTTAGAGCTAGTTCACTCATTAATAGGACTTAAAACTGTTGCACATGTTTATTATATACTTGTAGCAGAGTCATATTTTTATTTTATTTTATTTTTTATTTTTTATTCTTTTTAAAGATTTTATTTATTTATTCATGAGAGACACAGAGAAAGAGAGAGGCAGAGACACAGGCAGAGGGAGAAGCAGGCTCCACGCAGGGAGCCCGATGTGGGACTTGATCCCGGGTCTGCAGGATCACGCCCTGGACCGAAGGCGCTCAAACTGCTGAGCCACCAGGGCTGCCCAGAGTCATATTTTTAACTCTTTTAAAATTATATAAGCAGGAGTCAAGGGTCCCTGGAAAAAGACACCACTTCCTTCACATAAGAAAGGTCATTTTAGGAGGCGCCCGGGTGGCTCTGTTGGTTGTCTGATATGATCCCAGCTCAGATCTTGATCACAGAGTCTTGAGTTCAAGCTCTGCAGTGGCCTCCACCTACTTCCATTTTTGTACAATTTCTCTACTTAGAATTCCCCTTAGTTTGCTAGATTGGATACTGCCTGGTTCATGAATCTTTCAGTAAAGCCAATTAAATCTTCAAATTTACTCAGTTGAATTGTATTTTAACAACAGTAATATATGCTTGAGATTAATTGAGCTAAAATCTGGTAGGGGAGAGAGCATGGTGTGAAGTGACTGGACTCAAAATTTTTACTGAACAGTCTTGTGCTGAAAGTTGGCTCCTACAGGGTCATGAGAACCAATTACATGCATTTCTTCCCAGCTCTGTGTTCAGTGTTTGGTGACTTCAGGATAGCTGGAAATCAACCATGATGACAGTATCTATAACACAGACCATGGTAAATCCTACAAATCAGGGCTTTTTTCCCCTGGAGATCTGGTTGTTGACCATTTACCAGCACACGCTGTAAGATGGGTTGAAGGGGGATGAAATTGCAAATATATGGGCATTATTTCCTAGGCAGTGTCAAGTCATAGAAGGAAGGACTTGTGTGGTGAGGAATACATTTGCAGAGGGTGATCAGATTTCTGGTTTAGAAAAATACTTGCTGATGATTATGCTAGCGGCACAGAAGACCGAGCAGAATGAGAAGAGAATGGAGGCAGAAAGGGCATTGAGAAGGCAGTGGCATTATTTGAGGTGAGAGATAAGGTGGTATCAGTAAAGAGGAAAGGCCAAGGACAGATTCCAGAGAGTAATTCTGGGATTGGGGTTGAAGGTAATTGAGGTATCTAGCTTGATGCACCATGTGGATCTTGGGACACACATTAATATAGATAAGTAATTAGGTGGAACAAATCTTTTTGGAGATAAAATTCAGTTTTGGATTTGTTGCTACCCATTAAAGTTATCCTAGGATACTTGGGTAGAAACATTCAGACTACAGTTGGGGGTGGAAATTCTGCTTTTAGATTTATCATTATTTAATGACAGCTGAAACCAAGAACAAAAATGACCTTAATCAAGGAGGATATAAATGTTGAGGAAAGCAAAAAGAGAAGCTTAAATAAGAAAAGGCTGATAATCAGAAGGAAAAATCATATTTTAAGAGATGAAGATGACTAGAAATGATGTCAACTCTATGCCGTAAGTTTTTTAAAAAAATATTTTATTTATTTATTCATGAGAGAGGCAGAGACACAGGCAGAGGGAGAAGCAGGCTCTATTCAGGGGAGCCCGGTGTGGGACTTAATCCCGGGACTCTGGGATCATGCCCTGAGCCAAGGGAGATGCTCAACTGCTGAGCCACCCAGATGTCCCTATGCTGTAAGTTTTAGAAAACATTCTTTACATGTTTGTAGTAAGAGATCTTACCAGTTTAGTGATAAATTAGAGAATACAGAATG